GGTATGCTTAGTCACTGGCGTTTTTCCGGTCCTTTCCTTGGGGCGTATGATATCCAGCATTTTATACTGTGGAGTGGCTGTAGCTTCGGGTCTCCAGTACGCCAAATGAATTACTGAGTGACACCTTGGGAGGAAGTAGAAACAGACAAGGTGTAAATGATTTGTTCACTTGGGAGAGTGAAGTGAGTTGGGACAGCTGGAGACTGAGACGCTGAGATGAGGTCGGGACGTCTGGCTCTCTTCTTTAAACCTGAATGGGAAAATTACAGTGACTCTTTGAGATGCAAGTGTAACTTCCTTCACTTCCAGAGGTGTAACCTGGCGTTTACCAGTTGCTCACTTGCTTCCGTCAACCTTACACACATTTTCATTAGCACAACCAAACAACTGACCACCGGGATGGGTTTGCATAATTGGCAGAACCAAAACGCCTCACTCGTGCTTTTGTGCTGCCTTGCTTCGACTGGGGATAGTCCTACACATCTGAAGTATGATGCTTTAGAGCAGTTAACGAACGTTAGTCCCCTCTTAACTTTAACACACAAGTTACCTTCACCATTGTGATGGGTCATGTTCGTGAATGACTTACACTTTTGTGATCTCGCGCAGGTTGTAATGTTTGTCAAACGTCCAATTTTCTAAGGCTCATATCGATAGTGGTACGAATCGCCGCATCGAGTGTGTGCAGGCTCGCTGCTTAGGTAAACATGCGCTGTGTTTGGTCGGTGGATGTCGGCTTTGTCTAGGCAGGAGCCTGTTACTGAAGCTGAACGCAAGCGCCATGCACGCAATACGGGAGCAGAAATTCTTCCACCGTCTTGGAGAACACCGTATTCGATTGTTGGAGAACCGAGAGATCTCTCTGTCGAACGACGTTACCTAGGAGGAGTCGGTTCAAGGGCGATAGAGTTGTGCGGTGGGTTTAAGCACGAGAGCCGTTTAAACAGTCTGAATCTTAGATAATAATTCCACGTGTGATAATTCAATGAGTAGGGCTAGCAAATTAGAATCCTGTGAGGTTTCAGTGTCTACGCTGCAAGAAAGTGTGGAGTAACTCCGCGAACAAGAGGGGCGCGAGAACTGCACGCCTCTCAACAGCTAGCTACTCGGAAATAGATCACGGCCGAAATTGCTCACATTCTTCGACTTATTTGCGACAGATGGGATAACAAGGAAAAAGAATGCAGTTAGGCAGTGATGTATCTTCGGATTGCTGCGCTCCTTACGGCCGATGACTGATTCATTACGTTTTTTCGCACCTCTGACGTTTTGACCAATTTAGTGGAGTTTTTAACGGGCATTTCAGTGATATAACAACTTATGGTGTTACTTTTGTGTGTAACATACGAGTTGAATAAATTTCTGTTATCGTTGTTTGTCGCTAAGCCAAGTTTCTGCGGTACCTCACCTCCCATCCCCGCCACCTTTCACGTTCTTATTTATCTCTTGCGGTCTATACTAGTCAAGCCCACCCCTACACCACGACACCTTCACATGCTTTATTGTAGCTGATGAAATCCGCATGCTTATTGAGTGCCTTTTTATCTGCTTGCAGATAACGAGTGGCAGTTAGTTTCACGTTGGCTGGTAAATGGTAGTACACTTATATACTTTTGAGCGGATTACACTGAACTCCTCATAGCGTTGTTCTCCGTCCGCCATCGAAGCTCGGTACCCTACGGTTAGCTACGATTGCTCCAGATGACGCTTCTGTCAGGAGATGATGCAGAAGCCATTATCTTGTTAACCACCCGCCTTCGAGTGATTAACAAGAGAACTAAAACCAGAAACGCGCAAAATCGCTCGTTGTCCACGGTCTCCCCTAGTTTCAGACTCCGAGTGTGCTAGAGGCTAAAGCACATGACTGGAATGAATCGCGCTTTGTTCGTGAGGTACTTGCACTCGAAAATGTAATCGTTAATTCGATTTCAGGGTTACCATCATCGTCCACCTACAAAGAAAGCGATCCACTAGTGATAAAAGCAACCGTTGTGGAGTCGGCTCCAACCCTCACCTGGAAGTAGCATCCACAAATTCCCTTTTAACCTCGGGGACACTCACCTATTTGTATACCAACACGTCGCGTCTTCTCAGTAAGCTGGTTGAGCTTCGTATTCGTCAGATTTCTGCTCCGTTGGACCGAAATATGGCTGAATACCGAGATCACTGACGCCTGCCCGATATACTTCTACGAAACGATCGATCTAGCAGAAGGTAGAATGTTGGTGTATGTATGTAAATAATCACAACAGTCTGGCAACTTGACATAGAGCCAACTAAAACCATGGAGGTTAGCGCATAAGCGAAGTCACCGCATTATAATCATCGTGGCATAGTAGTTGAAGGTGAGCCACACATTTTGACCAAAAGTATAACAATGTTTTTAGTTAGTTTTTCACGCGCTGATTTTTCTCTTTTTTCCGTCATTTTCAATGTTTGAAGTATTAAACATGTGAGTCAATACCATACTGTGCACAATTCTTCCATTGATTTCGGTTGCGGGCCATGTCTTCAAGAGTGTTAAGCTGTTGGCACTCCTCATCTTTTGGTCTACATCCTGGAAGAGGTACGGGTCCAACAGCGGCTAGACACGACTTAGTACCGCGCTGACATGCATACGGATACCATCGACAATCCAGATACGCAAGTTGTCGGTTCTCTCTAGTGCCGCCCGCACCTGAAATGCGGTGATGTGTTTGGTAGCAATGATTTACCGCTCTACACGAACCACCTTGGAAATGGGTCACCTCCTAGCCTCTGCTACAACGCTAATCCTGACACCGTCATACACTCATGTTCTTTTGGTGGGGAGCCTCAACCTGCACGCAATCGAACTCCTAACTTCTTAGCGTGTAACTCAAAGTAGATTTGCAAGATGGGATCGTCCACATACCGATCTACAACCACATCACGGCTCCCACCAGATTCAGAACTGGTGATGAACTCACCAACGAAGAACTAATGATCGATACCGTAATCATAGATGAACCGCTTGGCCTTAGCAATCATGCATTACATCTGCTCTGTGGAATACGTTTGTGAAAACATGAAGGAAATCCACGTCGTTATTCATTACGGCATGTTGTCTGGCTTCCTTCAGGCATCCATATGGTTCTTCCTAGCTGTGCAGCATCCCGACGTCACCTGGAGTGAATTTGTCACAAAGTTCACCGGGCTAGTGGCTAATCCGTCGGGAACCGAATTCTCGTCCGAAGCAAACGATCTCCTTCCTGAGCAGCCGGACCCGAAAGTGCATGGCCTTAAGGGATTCGGCCTGACACGCTTCTAAAGCTTCTCCGTATGCGCAGGCTTGATATGTCTACATAACTCAGCGAAACATTGTGTCATTTTGATCCGCAAAGACAATCTCAAGCACTAACAGGACTTAGTGACGAAATTTAGTGCTAACCTAGGATGCTCTACAGACATGTAACAAGGTCCGGAGAAATCAACACGGAGTCTCATTTCTACGTCTACACAGGTGGCGGCAAACGAGCTTCGGCAGTAGTTTACCCGCACTTTCCAGAATGAATCGTCAACTCAAACATTTTTAACAGCTCATTTATCACGCACATATATGATGAAAAGATTATTGTCCTTGCGTTTGCACCGCCCTCTTGGCGTGGACGACATAAGACCGAAGGCATTAAAGATAGTCACCATGAATACGGTCGATCCGTTAACTGGGTTCTTTTAACGAAGCCTTGAGAAAATGCAGGCTTCCACAATGTGCAGACATGTGATAAGCACTTCTCTTTCTAAAAATGGCTATTGTTTGGATTCTTCTAACTAGCGTCCGACTACTTCTCCCGGTACTAACCCAAGTTACGTAAGGTATTATCGCAGGAGCGCTCATGGGATACCTTGCGAATAACCACATCATAGTGTCACAGAAGTACGGATTCTGCCGCAATTTGTCCTGCACTACAAATTTACTGCTATCCAGAACGAGCTGAATGGAATCAGTAGATGCAAGAGTGGAAGTCGTCGTCGTCCATCTGGACCTCTCTAAAGCGTTCGACTGCCTGGACCATCGCATTCTCTTCCACAATCTTCAAATCTAAACAATCATCAACCTTGTACTGGGTTAGATAAGCACATTCGAGCAATCTATCCATAAATGCTGAACGACCACATGAGACCCCACGTGGAATAAGCCATCCAAATCAGGTGGCGTTGGCGTAAGGACGTTGCTGGTGCGCTTGAAAGGCCACAACGTGGGTGGACGAAAACCGTTAGGGGAATGTTTTACCTCTCCTACCAACGGAGACTGTAAGCTCCGGGCTTATATAGCCTGCAAGGAGACCTTATCACGGCGTGCCAAATACAGTCGATACCAAAATACGCCTGTCGCGATCTGTTGCAACTCAGCCACAACACTAACTTGAGATACCACCAGCTCAAACTGGCTACGCACAACGGTCGACTTGGTTATCAGTGAAACTCATTCTCCCTTTGGGTACCCAAACCTGGAAAGCTCTTCAAATCACGTTATTTTTGTCCCCATATTAACGCTCTCTAAAAAACGACTGGATTACACTCTATCCCATCTACTTTACGAGACAGTTTCCATCGGAAGACACAGTAACGCAAGTCAAACGGCGCTGTCTACTACGGAGCGATGACGAGCCCAACATATGTGTTTATGTAGAGAACAGTCATTTTAAAACTTTATTTTATCATCCTCCTTCCTGTCATCCTAAGGGTTTTGCCAGACATTTACTTTTGTATCCGTTGTTCATTGTCGTTCGACTGTAAGTAACACCTCAAACCGTACCATTGATGCTAAAGGAATCCTCATATCTTTCATGAGAAGGGGGTTAGCTGTGACCGCGGATAGAAGTCACTGCTTCCCATGGAAGACCCATTATTTTTCTCCGACTTTTGTTTCCGAGTGACGCGCTTAAATGCACTTATCGGTTGTCCCCAGAACCACCAATGTGATGCCCACATACTATACTTTACCACACTCACACCGCATATCTTTTATTTTTCTGCAGGTGTCCATGCTATGGATTTTGTCCTACCTGGCCCTTGTTCTGTACGGCTTCGTGGCTCTGTTTTGCCTCGCCGCTGGTCTACTTTACGTGACTGAATTGGTTGAGGAGTACACAGTAATCACCGGCAAGATAATCAAATATCTGATCGCCTCTGAATTCATATTACATATTGTTCTAACATTTTCAGATACAGTTTCATACCTCTTGATCGCAATCGGCTTTGTAGCTCACATTTTCTATTGGTTCCTCTTAAAACATTTTCCGGCCTTCCAGCTAACTTCCTTCGCTTTCATTGGCAGCCTGTGTGCATTCATCATTCACCATTTGGCTGCATTCAGTGTGTTCAACGCGGCCCTATTCACATTCTCCGAGATGCTTGCCTACTTCACATTTTTTCTGTGGGCTGTGCCCTTTATGTTTCTCATCTCTCTTTCTGCCAACGACTGGGTGCTCCCTCAGACGGTGACGCTTATGCATCATCGCGAACAAGAGCCGCTGCTTGCAGGTGATCAAGACGTTGTCTCCGCGTATTTGAGGCGAAAGAGGCGCAGCCTCTACTCTCTGCTCTCCACCATACGGGATTATTTGCCTTCAATTAAATCAAAGAAAGGATTTTAACTAGAATCTCTTTTATCCATCATAACTTCATTGTGGCGCGCCTCTCAGTTTGTTGTTGATCTTGTTTCTCAATGGTTCAAATCTGTACATACTTTCTCATTTGAAACCATGTTTTTATTGAAAAGTTGCGTTCTCTTATTGTAGGATCATTTTGAAGTACTCGCTGTGTGGTTGGATTGCGACGCGCAATCTCAATGTGGACCGCGATTCGCATTGAAGTGAACCTCGGCCAATTCGATCACTGGGACCGTAGCTGAAGCAGATGGTAATTGCGTGTTGGTGATCCACACGACGCCCCATTCACCTAATTTGATCCCATCAGATAGCAGTCATCGAACAAGCACGATACTGATATTAAATTGTGTAGTAGAGGTCCACTGTGCAAAAATCGAGCAAGCAGACTTATTTTTTTAGCATCTCTCTCATGTGCGGCAATGGAAGGCCTGGTGGAGCGCACGTTTTTCGCATTAAAAATCCGGCTTCGACTGCCTGACGATTTTTGCTACTTCTCGTGCGTGTGTGTGTCCGCTTCTCACGGAAGCCATAGTCACAATCTACAGAATAGTACGAGCGACTGGCTCCTTGAAGTCCCACTTCTGATGCACGCTCGGGGTGTTTTCATTGCGTTGCACGTGAATTTAGAGGGGGATGTTATTTGTCTGGAGACGCTTAGATACTTAGGCGAGGCTATTGTTGCAACTGTCATCCGAATCCACTGCATGACTAGGACTCAAGCTCGATTTAACTTTACTGTACGGGACCAGCTTCATTAATGATGTAAGACTTGCATCAGTGGAGATTGCTCCCCATGCAGAAATGCGTGAGTAAAGACCTATATATCGAGCAGCCTCGAATGCAATGGTCAAGCTGCGGCTGCGCATGTGCGATTTTCCCCCTAACCCCGCCTCGTATTGCACCTAACGCTGTTTCTGCGATGCTGCTGATATCGAAAGTACTGCGCATGCTCAGCACTCCTTGCGCGGCGTCATATATTTCACGGAGCATCTCTTCGTTGACGGTGCACTATTCCGGATGGTCTCACGTGTGAATCTACCTAAAAGGGCACGCCTATACCAAAAACTAATATTTTATTGGGCGGTCACGTGATAAAAAGCAAAACTGTATATCCCGATGAAGTACTATTTCGAATTCAATCAGTTCGGGTTTTTGATCCCTGACTACAAAGTGCAGTTGTTTGGCTATCTTAGTTCCTCCCAAACTACGCGTTTATAGTCGAAAACACAGCTTTTGCGCAAAAGTATCAGCTTCGTGCTAGGGGGTACTCGTTTGTAGCGACACTGCTATTAAGTGATGGATACAGCAACACCATTTAGTTCGTCTGGCCTACATCGAACTAGAACTTTTCAAGTTGGGTTGCTTCTCATGAGCTGTGCAGCCATCCTGACGTACCTTAATTGCTTTGCTTTCAAAGAGGATTGCATCTGAACCTTCAACATTCAAATCACATTGTAAACTAGAACTACTCTGCTGTTAGTGTCACACACGTTGTTTTCACTCGGTTCCATCACTTGAAGTGTCATCATCATTATGGTCTGGATTAAAGTCGGCTAATCACACATGCAACTTCTTGTAATACTCATTTTCTCTCTAGAATTTCCAGCCATGAACAAAGGTTGACTGAACTAGCTCTGCCCTTTACGGACTCACCGGTAGTAGGCGGCGCACGAATGTACTAGCCGGTCCTCTCTGTGTTCTATGGCTTATAACAGTCTCTCTTAGCATTAGGTTCGTGTAGACCAACGATATTAATCTAGGCCTACTGATGCCCGTTTGTGGCTTCTGGTTCGCGGCCAACGCATTTCTTGCCCGCTCTTCGAAATTCCTTATGTGAGCTCACCGACCTTACGATCTACGGTTTTTATGCGTCCCCTACCTTGTTGAGTTGTCGATTTATCATTTTGTTTGGTAGGATGGTGGATCACCTGATCCGACTCAACGAGACTGGACCCTAAGTTGGTGCGGCGGTTTGCCTACCGCCTCGACCCATTGAGCTATACTGGATGGTTCCCTTTGCTGCTTGAGAGCTACTTGTAAGAGGTCGCTCAGTGGTTGGAGGTCTGACAAACTCAGTCTCATGGTTCTCCAGGCTGGGGTTTGAAATGGGATGGCGTACATTAATGTAAAATCGAGTCGCCGCCACCTCCGCGCTGCGTTGCGCAGGGGCTTTTGAGCCAAAGCCTTTGCGTAACAACGCTATTCGTTCTTTTACGGGCGCTCTGACAGTATCTCAGACCCTCACAACCGTGAGTATTTCGTCAACCATGTCCTGCCTCAGCCGTTGCGCAGCTGCAAAGAGATCGTCTTACCTGCTTAAACAACGGGCCGGACAAGCAAAGACCTGCTGCTACTGGTGCCTCCTTTCTTTACAACATGCCGCATTTACTCCTCCATTACTAACGTTCTGTAATTCTCAGCTTAATTGACAGCAGCCGCAATTCCACTGCAGTTCCTTCTGCCATCTGCAGCTATCTTCTCACAGTACCCACTGGACGCCAATAGTCTACAGATCGTTATAAGGCCATACTGGCCCATTTCCATGTTGGCCTCCAACGCTTGCTCCCTATGACATAAGGTCAATAGGCTACACACACACGTTGGACACCCTGGGTATTGACGTGTGTTGCTTATCAGAAACGATGATCAGTGACGCTCGGGTGGTTGTTGAACTAATTGCCTTGTCCTGTCTGCTCGCTTTAAGTACACGCATCCGGAGACGCTTACTTGGCAATCATCGGTCAAGCAGAGGTGGGCATCGTTCTCATCTCCAAGGCCAAGTCATCGTTGATTGATTGGATTCCCGTGAGAAGCAATTTGCACGCCGTACATTTGACAACATCAACTGAAATTGATTCACAAAGTGGCACTGGACGCTGTTTGTTCGTGGTTGCTGTTTATGCTTTCACCGACTACACTTCTGATGTTGCCGAGGCCACATTCTACTACGGACTGGACGTACTGCCTGTCGGTGTTTCGAGTTCAGATATCGTTGTTCCTGCGAAGTATGTGGATCCGCAACTAGGTTGTCTGAGATCTACAGAAGCTCATCTAGGTTTTAAGTATGGACTTAACTCTGAAAGAACGGACAACGGTGAGCGCATGTTGCAACTGTGTGCGGAGCAACCGATGTTTCTTAGCAACACCGCCTTTAGACTTACTCGGTTCGGAAATGCATTTTGCATTGCCCAGGACGGGGTGGGTTTTCGCGTGACAAGCGTTCTCTCTATAAAAACCACTTGTGTCCGTTTAATAACACTGCAACGTGGCGGACGTGACTCGCCACTAAGTAAAGTCACTGCCCCTTGTTTCACCTTGGTGAAGCATTGTATCTCAGAACCTTGCTGCTGAAATCGTGCGGAAAATTGGGCCCCTGTTTGGCTACTCACCAAACGAAAGGCGTATGAACTGAACAATCAGTCATCGGCTCCCAATGGGTGCGAATCCCTGATTTCGCTCTGCTGCCTTGCGGGTAGGCTATTGAGCCAAACGCTCGGGGTGGAGTCCCCTAAGACAACTCCCTACTTCGGCTTGGGCAACCGGGTAGTATCGTGCCCTCTGTGAAAACCATGAATTTCGCAATTACTACTACGTCGCTTACTTCTGCTGCTACTTTCGCTGCTACTCGTGCTTCTCCATCACACGCCAACTTTTGTTGATAACCTACAACCTCTTGAACCTACTTCCAATGCCCGTCTTGCTGATATCAAATCATCCGGACATCAGCTATCCTTTGACCCGTGCTTTATTCCGCCTGGCAGTGTTCAGTGTTCGGACCCTCCTACAGATTGGCAACAGGCTGGCCTGGCGCGCACTCCAGAGTCCCTCGTTATTGATGTTTGTTGCCTTTCAGAGACTCGATTACGGGATTCCAGCACCGTGGTTAAGTTGTCGTCCCCAGCTGCTCTTGGGACCACATATTACCTACGTCTGTCTATTGACATGGAGGCAGCAGATGCCGGCTTAGCTGGTGTCGGTATCGCATTGAGTGACAAAGCGGAGACTGCATTACTCGACTGGTTTCCAATCGACAGCCGGCTGTGTGCGGTTCAGCTTCATGGTTCATGTAGAATCAACAGACATCGTGAAGAGAGGCGCAATTTGTTTGTCGTTTCTGAATACGCTCCAACCGACTGCAGCTGTGCATCGGTTAAGGATGACTTTTATCGTGGTATCCACAACCTTTTGAACAAGGCCGAAAAGTCAGATGCCATCGTTCTTGCCAGAGATCTCAATGCATGAGTAGGTCGGATGCTTCCGTGAGAACGTCACCTTGGTGGCAGTCACGCGCTTGATAAGAGCCGTTCTGACAACGGTGAGACTTTTTACCTCTATTTCCCGCAAATACGAACTTTAGGCATACCAAAAGACACGCAGCCACTTGGCGTCCTCCTTCACGAACGCAAGCAGGGTCACACATAGATCACATTGCGATCAGCTTTAGATTGCGAGGCAGCGTCCGGAGTTGTAGATCGATTTGGTCTACGTACCTCGATTCAGATCATGCTTTGGTCTGCGCGGACATCTGCATGTTCTTCGGCGGTTTCTCAAAACGAAAGTTCCACATACTCGACACCAACAAGTTAGCTGACCTCTCTACGCGACCAACTTATCAAACTTCCTTATCGCATGCATTTATTGGTGTTCCACCTGGAGACATCGAAAATTATTGGAGTTTCCTGCGTGAAGCGATGCTAACATCCAGTCATTCAATCTGCGGAATCACAAGGCGCCCTCTGATGGGCTGGATTTCCACACACTCCATGGAATTGTTTGATCGTCGTAGAACTATCCCGGACAGTTCAAATAGCAGTGCATTGCGTCCCCTTCTCAGCCAACAGCTTAAGAAAAGTCTGCGTGTGGATCACGAAACTTGGTGGTCCCAGCGCGCCTCAGAGATGGAAACGGCAGCCCTCTCTGAGAACTTTCGCAAGCTCTTCCAGGTCATTCGGGCCACTGGTCACAAAAGACATGGTGTCAGTGAG